TATCTAAGGTTATCTATCTATCTAAGGTTCTTTACCATAAAATGTTGATATCCTGAGGGAACACTTTTGCCTCCAAAGAACAAGCCACATGCCACACAGAACCTACAGTAGAACATGGCTGTAAAGGGGTTATGGAAGCATACTCTGCATGACTGATATGCACTGATAAAAAAAGAAGAATTCCTTCATGGTAGAAATTAGGTAAACTATGGAATTTACTTAGAAATAAAGCTTTTGTAGGGTAGCAATGTACCTTATTTTCACCCATAAGAAAGGGCGTGCTCAGCTTTGCTTGTGATTTTGAAGGACTTTAAGGTTCCCATTCACTAGTGATCATTTAAAAGAAGGGCATAGGGGCTTCCAGGTCCACCTTATTCAACAAAGTGCAGAATGATGGGTTACCAAAAGTCACCTGTGGAATGAACAGATTTTTATCTTTCTGAAAACCCTGCGATAAGTGTTACAGAGATTTACAACTTCCCTAAAAGTTAGAAACGTCGCTTTCTCCAAAGGTGAAGAAAGCCAAACCTGCAGGAGAAAGCAAAACCATGAGGAAATGGGAACACTCACATCTATTTACACATCTGCAGCCATTTGGGACATTTGACATTCAATAAGAAAATTCTCACGTTTTTCTCCCACTTAAGCCATAAATAGTTAAGACAAGGTCCTCACCTGTCTTAAATTTTGTCAGTGCACTATAAATAGGTCACAAACCGTCAGGAACTGACTTCAAAGACTGTCAGTGGCATGGGCCGCAGCTGTATTAAACAGGATGGCGGAGGAGCAGGTGAAGAGGTCAGTACATTGTCCACAGGTATCCCTTGAGTCTGTAGATTCGGATGGCACGGTGCATAAAATGTTGACACACTAAAAGCAAGTGTTTTAATGACCTGTCATGATTTAAAGGACAAGTTTGAGCCTTTCACATGAAGCAGACGTGCTTTGCCAGTCCATATCGGATTAGAAGCTGTATAATATTTTTATGCCACAAGCATAAACCAAACACCTACAGGCAGCAAGAATCTAGTAGACTTTGGTTTACCCTGTTCATTACCCACAAACCTGCAGCAACAGCAAATCAAAGCAGGAAGATTTCAGGCTATTAAGTATTCCAAATAAACCGGGATGATCTGTTTTCCCTTATTCTCCACATGTGCACTTTGTAAAATGCTGCTATTTTACAAATTGTAAACATTGTTGTTCAGCATGGGTACATCTGATGTGCAGCCTTCAATATCTGTTGTGGGTACAGTTGTCAGCTGTGAGAAGTCAGTGTTTACCAATCATTTATATATTGTGTTGTACAAAGTACCATGGTTAATACCTGCTCTAAGTTTGAGGAAATAACAATGTCTTTGATACCATAGTGTGGTAACTGCTCCTAAACATTGATTTGTTTAATGGTGAACACTCAGAGTATGTCTACACTTGTCAGGGCCCATAACAGGGTGGTCTGACCTAGTGATCACAGCCAGGGGCAGAGTCAGGGTCACAGTGAGAAGCCACACCAAAGGTCAAAGCCCAAGTCAGAGTCTGAAGCCACACTAAGGGTCAATCTAGAGTCAGCAGCCACGCCAAGGATCAGTGTCAGGGTCGGACACCAGGATTAAGCCAGAATCGGAGTCAGAAGCCATGCCAAGGGTCAAGCCAGAGTCAGTCACTGGAATTAGGGCAAGGATTCAGGAACCAGGAGCAAAGAGCAGAAACCAGGTGAGGAGGCAAGAACTAGGAACAAGGTATGGTAACAGGAGCAGGAACCAGGAAAGGAGGCAGGAACTTGGTCTCACAGGATCTGGTCAGCAGCAATCCTAGCAACTAGTTGCTCAAACAAGGGGTGGGACAAGCACAGGAAGCTTTATGCCCGGCGGTGTCCAATCAGTGGTCTGCTGCTAGTCACCTCACCCAGCTGAGTCAGCGGGTGTAGCCTCTGGTAGCTGGGTGTTAGCTGCAGTTTACTAATCTGACCTTGGCACCGAGGGTAAGGCTCTGACTTGGCAGCCTCATGGGTGCAGGTTCAAGCTCCATAGCACCTCACAACACTGCAATCAGAGGTGTGACTGCAAAACTGGTGGACATACCCAAGCTAGCTTTGATCTAACTAGCTCAAATGACAATAGCAGTGAAGCTACAGAAACACAGGATCTACAAGCCCACCCCAGAGCCTAAGATGTGTCCTTGAGCAGTTAGCCTGTGCAGCTACAGCTTCATGGTATTTGTGCTAGCTAGAATGAAGCGACCTTGGGTATATCTAAGGGTATGTCTACACTATGGAATAAGGTCGAATTTATAGAAGTCGGTTTTTTAGAAATCGGTTTTATATATTCGAGTGTGTGTGTCCCCACAGAAAATGCTCTAAGTGCATTAAGTGCATTAACTCGGCGGAGCGCTTCCACAGTACCGAGGCAAGCGTCGACTTCCGGAGCGTTGCACTGTGGGTAGCTATCCCACAGTTCCCGCAGTCTCCGCTGCCCATTGGAATTCTGGGTTGAGATCCCAATGCCTGATGGGGCTAAAACATTGTTGCGGGTGGTTCTGGGTACATATCGTCAGGCCCCCGTTCCCTCCCTCCCTCCATGAAAGCAAGGGCAGACAATCGTTTTGCGCCTTTTTTCCTGAGTTACCTGTGCAGACACCATACCACGGCAAGCATGGAGCCCGCTCAGGTAACCGTCACCGTATGTCTCCTGGGTGCTGGCAGACGCGGTACAGCATTGCTACACAATAGCAGCAACCCATTGCCTTCTGGCAGCAGACAGTGCAATACGATTGGTAGCCGTCATCATCGTGTCCGAGGTGCTCCTGGCCACATCGGCTGGGAGCGCCTGGGCAGACATGGGCGCAGAGACTAAATTTGGAGTGACTTGACCAGGTCATTCTCTTTAGTCCTGCAGTCAGTCCTATTGAACCGTCTTATGGTGAGCGGGTAGGCGATACAGATTGCTAGCAGTCGTACTGTACCATCTTCTGCCAGGCAGGCAGGCGAGACGATTGCTAGCAGTTGTACTGTACCATCTTCTGCCGGGCAGGCAAGAGATGAGGATGGCTAGCAGTCATACTGTACCATCTTCTGCCGAGCAGCCATGAGATGTGGATGGCATGCAGTCCTTCTGCACCGTCTGCTGCCAGCCAAAGATGTAAAAGATAGATGGAGTGGATCAAAACAAGAAATAGACCAGATTTGTTTTGTACTCATTTGCCTCCTCCCCCGTCTAGGGGACTCATTCCTCTAGGTCACACTGCAGTCACTCACAGAGAAGGTGCAGCGAGGTAAATCTAGCCATGTATCAATCAGAGGCCAGACTAACCTCCTTGTTCCAATAAGAACAATAACTTAGGTGCACCATTTCTTATTGGAACCCTCCGTGAAGTCCTGCCTGAAATACTCCTTGATGTAAAGCCACCCTCTTTGTTGATTTTAGCTCCCTGAAGCCAACCCTGTAAGCCGTGTCATCAGTCGCCCCTCCCTCCGTCAGAGCAATGGCAGACAATCGTTCCGCGCCTTTTTTCTGTGTGGACGCCATACCAAGGCAAGCATGGAGGCCGCTCAGCTCACTTTGGCAATTAGGAGCACATTAAACACCACACGCATTATCCAGCAGTATATGCAGCACCAGAACCTGGCAAAGCGATACCGGGCGAGGAGGCGACGTCAGCGCGGTCACGTGAGTGATCAGGACATGGACACAGATTTCTCTGAAAGCACGGGCCCTGCCAATGCATGCATCATGGTGCTAATGGGGCAGGTTCATGCTGTGGAACGCCGATTCTGGGCTCGGGAAACAAGCACAGACTGGTGGGACCGCACAGTGTTGCAGGTCTGGGATGATTCCCAGTGGCTGCGAAACTTTCGCATGCGTAAGGGCACTTTCATGGAACTTTGTGACTTGCTTTCCCCTGCCCTGAAGCGCATGAATACCAAGATGAGAGCAGCCCTCACAGTTGAGAAGCGAGTGGCGATAGCCCTGTGGAAGATTGCAACGCCACACAGCTACCAGTCAGCTGGGAATCAATTTGGAGTGGGCAAATCTACTGTTGGGTCTGCTGTGATGCAAGTAGCCCACGCAATCAAAGATCTGTTGATATCAAGGGTAGTGACCCTGGGAAATGTGCAGGTCATAGTGGATGGCTTTGCTGCAATGGGATTCCCTAACTGTGGTGGGGCCATAGACGGAACCCATATCCCTATCTTGGCACCGGAGCACCAAGCCGGCGAGTACATAAACCGCAAGAGGTACTTTTCAATAGTGCTGCAAGCTCTGGTGGATCACAAGGGACGTTTCACCAACATCAATGTGGGATGGCCGGGAAAGGTAAATGACGCTCGCATCTTCAGGAACTCTGGTCTGTTTCAAAAGCTGCAGGAAGGGACTTTATTCCCAGACCAGAAAATAACTGTTGGGGATGTTGAAATGCCTATATGTATCCTTGGGGACCCAGCCTACCCCTTAATGCCATGGCTCATGAAGCCGTACACAGGCAGCCTGGACAGTAGTCAGGAGCTGTTCAACTACAGGCTAAGCAAGTGCAGAATGGTGGTAGAATGTGCATTTGGACGTTTAAAGGCGCGCTGGCGCAGTTTACTGACTCGCTTAGACCTCAGTGAAACCAATATTCCCACTGTTATTACTGCTTGCTGTGTGCTCCACAATATCTGTGAGAGTAAGGGGGAGACGTTTATGGCGGGGTGGGAGGTTGAGGCAAATCGCCTGGCTGCTGGTTACGCGCAGCCAGACACCAGGGCGGTTAGAAGAGCACAGGAGGGCGCGGTACGCATCAGAGAAGCTTTGAAAACCAGTTTCATGACTGGCCAGGCTACGGTGTGAAAGTTCTGTTTGTTTCTCCTTGATGAAACCCCCCGCCCCTTGGTTCACTCTACTTCCCTGTAAGCCAACCAGCTTCCCCTCCCCCCTTCGATCACCGCTTGCAGAGGCAATAAAGTCATTGTTACTTCACATTCATGCATTCTTTATTCATTCATCACACAAATAGGGGGATGACTACCAAGGTAGCCCAGGAGGGGTGGTGGAGGAGGGAAGGAAAATGCCACACAGCACTTTAAGCACAGCACTTTAAAAGTTTACAACTTTAAAATTTATTGAATGCCAGCCTTCTTTTTTTTGGGCAATCCTCTGTGGCGGAGTGGCTGGTTGGCTGGTGGCCCCCCCACCGCGTTCTTGGGCATCTGGGTGTGGAGGCTATGGAACTTGGGGAGGAGGGCGGTTGGTTACACAGGGGCTGTAGTGGCAGTCTGTGCTCCAGCTGCCTTTGCTGCAGCTCAGCCATACACTGGAGCATACTGGTTTGGTCCTCCAGCAGCCTCAGCATTGAATCCTGCCTCCTCTCATCACGCTGCCGCCACATTTGAGCTTCAGCCCTGTCTTCAGCCTGCCACTTACTCTCTTCAGCCTGCCACTTACTCTCTTCAGCCCGCCACTTACTCTCTTCAGCCCGCCACCTCTCCTCCCGGTCATTTTGTGCTTTCCTGCACTCTGACATTATTTGCCTCCACGCATTCGTCTGTGCTCTGTCAGTGTGGGAGGACAGCATGAGCTCGGAGAACATTTCATCTCGACTGCGTTTTTTTTTTCTTTCTAATCTTCACTAGCCTCTGGGAAGGAGAAGATCCTGTGATCATTGAAACACATGCAGCTGGTGGAGAAAAAAAAAGGGACAGCGGTATTTAAAAAGACACATTTTATAAAACAGTGGCTACACTCTTTCAGGGTAAACCTTGCTGTTAACATTACATACATAGCACATGTGCTTTCGTTACAAGGTCGCATTTTGCCTCCCCCCACCGCGTGGCTACCCCCTCAACCCTCCCCCCTCCCCGTGGCTAACAGCAGGGAACATTTTTGTTTAGCCACAGGCAAACAGCCCAGCAGGAACGGGCTCCTCTGAGTGTCCCCTGAAGAAAAGCACTCTATTTCAACTAGGTGACCATGAATTATATCTCACTCTCCTGAGGATAACACAGAGAGATAAAGAACGGATGTTGTTTGAACGCCAGCAAACATACACTGCAATGCTTTGTTCTACAATGATTCCCGAGTACGTGTTACTGGCCTGGAGTGGTAAAGTGTCCTACCATGAAAGATGCAATAAGGCTGCCCTTCCCAGAAACCTTTTGCAAAGGCTTTGGGAGTACATCCAGGAGAGCTGCGAATGCCAGGGCAAAGTAATCCTTTCACAGGCTTGCTTTTAAACCATGTATAGTATTTTAAAAGGTACACTCACCAGAAGTCCCTTCTCCGCCTGCCGGGTCCAGGAAGCAGCCTTGGGTGGGTTCAGGGGGTACTGGCTCCAGGTCCAGGGTGAGAAACAGTTCCTGGCTGTCGGGAAAACCGGTTTCTCCGCTTGCTTGCTGTGAGCTATCTACAACCTCCTCCTCATCATCATCTTCTTCGTCCCCAAAACCTGCTTCCGTGTTGCCTCCATCTCCATTGAAGGAGTCAAACAACACGGCTGGGGTAGTGGTGGCTGAACCCCCTAAAATGGCATGCAGCTCATCATAGAAGCGGTGTGTTTGGGGCTCTGACCCGGAGCAGCCGTTCGCCTCTCTGGTTTTCTGGTAGGCTTGCCTCAGCTCCTTCAGTTTCACGCGGCACTGCTTTGGGTCCCTGTTATGGCCTCTGTCCTTCATGCCCTGGGAGATTTTGACAAAGGTTTTGGCATTTCGAAAACTGGAACGGAGTTCTGATAGCACGGATTTCTCTCCCCATACAGCAATCAGATCCCGTACCTCCCGTCTGGTCCATGCTGGAGCTCTTTTGCGATTCTGGGACTCCATCATGGTCACCTGTGCTGATGAGCTCTGCATGGTCACCTGCAGCTTGCCACGCTGGCCAAACAGGAAATGAGATTAAAAAGTTCGTGGTTCTTTTCCTGTCTACCTGGCCAGTGCATCTGAGTTGAGAGTGCTGTCCAGAGCGGTCACAATGGAGCACTCTGGGATAGCTCCCGGAGGCCAATACCGTCGAATTGTGTTCACAGTACCCCAAATTCAACCCGGCAAGGCCGATTTAAGCACTAATCCACTTGTCAGGGGTGGAGTAAGGAAATCGATTTTAAGAGCCCTTTAAGTCGAAATAAAGGGCTTCATCGTGTGGACGGGTGCAGGTTTACATCAATTTAACGCTGCTAAATTCGACCTAAAGTCCTAGTGTAGACCAGGGCTAAGTGTGCGGCAGTCACACCTCTGACTGCCGTGTAAACACACCCAGTTTGTTCAGGGTATGGTTCTGTTCTCCATTCATCTAATGGATCGGAACTGTCAGTTATACTGGAGTCACAGGAACTGCATGGGTGTATTGCACTGGTCTACGACCATTTGTGTGTGTGACAAGGCAAGAGTAAGCCTATTCAGAAAATGTCTGGAACAGGAATACAGCACATGTATATCAGCACCCAAGCTGTTATACAGTCTATCATAGACAGAATGACAAATGAATGTGGCTCAAAATACCCATTTTCCATCTACCAGTTACAGGGTTGTCACTGTGTCATTCTGAACCTAGAAGGTTTATTTGAGTCTGTGTGAATCAATAAAAATAGCTATAAGCATGGCTCAGAGTTCCTTTGGTTTAGACTATCCCCAGGTTGAATCAGCACTGGGATTCACTGTCTATTACCATCCACTTTTTAAGCCCTCAGCCATTGTCACAGATGACTTTATGAATAACACCCATGTGACAGCATGGGATTTCAGCTAGTCTATCCATATCTGACAAGCACCAAAAAGTTATCACCGTTTTTCCTGCTATTTCAGCTGCAAATTAACTCCAGTGTTTGAACTGTCCTCTCCGCAAGCTTTCAGTTATTGTCATATTCTCTAGCCTTCTCTGCCACTGCTTGAGATTTTGTTTTGACTGGAGTTAGATTGAAATAGGTATCATAGTGCTCATGTTTGGTATGTATAACAGCTGGTCTAAGTTCTTATCATCTCTACAATTTGGGTTCTAGAATGCTTAGTGGAAAGGGAAAGAAAAAGGGACTTTTTGTGGTGTTCAGTAGTACCAATAATCTTCCCAGGGTGGCAGTTAGTACTTATTTAATGCTGTTCTTCGGTTCATGTTTTTCTCAACAGTATCCCAGAGATAGTCATGTAACAATTAAATTCATGTGCAACATGTAGCGGAGGTGATGGAGGCCTAGCTGCATATCTGAAACCTCAGAAATAGAACTCATGACCTTCAATTTTAAAGATAAAGCCCTCTAGTGCTTTGGCCAAAATTAATTGCTTGAATACACCTGGCAATCTATCCTGTAAAGAACAGAGGTACCTAGTGGCCCTGTATCTCCTCTTGCTTTCACTGGTCCTATGTGGGCATAGCAGAGTATCTAGCCAAATGAGCCTGGTGAATTTCATCACCATGTCAGTGAGCATCTATATTACATCTGCTCCACTGGGAACCCTTTAGTGTCTGGGAGTTTATAGATGATCAGGATGCCCAGGGTAGGTTTGCCCTCATGCTCACAGATTAAGTAGAGCCATTTGAGTGGACTCTTGCTGCATTTGAGCTAGAACAGAGTTCAGATTTGTTCTCCCTGGTCTGAGTAACCTGGGTGGCCAAGGTGAGATATGCAAGGCCAAATGTTAAAAACAAATAAAGGAGCCCTCAACATATACTTCTGCTGGCAGCTGCCCTAGAAAAAGTGAATACCTTTCTGCACTGGAGAACAAGCTTGCTTTGCCCTTGTAACTCTAGTTGTTTATGGGGTCCTTCTTTACTTCCTCTTCTAAGTGTTCTGTGGTGCTGCTGTGTAAATTTGTTAAACAGAAGATGTTTTACACCATACATGGCTGTATTTCAGTAGTGGGTTAAATAGTTCTTCTATAGATAGCACATACTGCGGTCCACTTAGAGGTGGGTTACCTGCTCATGCAGTGCCAGTGTTCCTTGGGGTAGAAGGAGCTCCACTGGGTCCATACCTGCCTGAGCCCACTCAGAGGGGTTAGTGGTTCAAGCAAGCTGTCGACCAAGACATAGGCGGTCAGACCTAGTGGTCAGAGCAGTGGTGCTTAGCCCTAGTGATCAGAGCAGGAGTTGGGAACCAGGAACTGGAGTTGGGTCAGAGACAGAATCAGGAGTCAAGCCAAAGGTCAGAACTGGAATCAGTAGCCAGGGGTGGGGCATAGAAACAGGGAACTGCAACATGGCAGGAAGGCAGGAAAAAGGAAAAAGGCAGGGATCTGGAATAAGAAGGGAAGCCAGGGCTCAGGAGTCAGGCAAGAAGACAGGGACCAATGCAGCAACCAGCGAAGGATTCGCCTAATTGCTCGGACAATTTCCTGTGCTTCCTTCTGGCTCAAAAAACGAATCAAGCCAATCAGAAAGGCCAGACATAGTCCAATCAGAAGCTTCATAGGTGGGGTCTCTGGTGAGAGAGGGTCCACCAGCCAATGCTCCCTCCTGGTACCAGCGAGCTTCCGGGTGGTGTCTGCAATCTGACGACTGTCGGTGGACCTGGGGTTCGAGCCCATGATCGCTCACATCATGAAGGTAAATACATTAAAGATTGTGAGATGCTCAGATACGATGATGATGGTGGAGGACTATAAAAGTATCTAAGATAGGTTGAAAGTCAGAGGATCTTTGTGATTACATCATCAGAAGGGTTTCTGAAAGAATGGGATTCCTGGAGCCAGCTGTGTCTCACCTTTTTCTGCAAGTTGCATAATCCATGGATTGGTCTGGAGAAGAAATCTTTGTCAGTGTATCACAAGTTCCTCTAGCTACCCTCTACCAGCCTTCTCTCTGACATTCAGAGGTTGATTCTTTTACATTTACTTTACTATTACATTCTAACAGTACTGAAGTTCCCATATCATGCTACATGAAGTGTAAGAAGAACAAGTAGCAGCACTACATAGACATGTAAATGCAATCAAGCAAGCTCTGGAAAGTCTCCCATGAAAGCCCCGGGAAACCTACAAGACCTGTATAGTGTGGCTGGCTAAGCTGTGTAAATAACATGCAGATCATATAGGCACAAGGATGATTCTGCCTACTGGAAAAGTAATCGCATGTCAGGAGCTACCATCCCAATGAGAACTAATTAACACCCTTGTCTCAGTTGAGACACCCAGTCTCAGTTGAGAACTTGAAGATTGTTCATAGTGGCTGAAGTCTCCTCGTGCCCCTCTTGTCCTTTCCATGTAACACTTGTGGTCCAGTGGCCATGTAAGGAAGGCTGTACTGCAGCTTCCAGATCTATAAGTGTTATTTGACTAAACAGAGAACCTTGGGGTCCTTGGGGCTGGAAATCTGGCACTGTTCACAAGCCCTAACTTCACTACAAATCTTTTAAGAGTCCACAGCAAACCGCACTGTAGCCAAGCTCACCAAACCATTAATGTGGAAGCTGAACAGACTGTATGACTTCAGTATCACTGTGGCTGGTGAACAATCAATTAAATTAAAATCTCTGCCCAGAAAAATACCAAGTGTGTGGATTAATACTACAGATACACAAGCTGAGCTCATGAAGAGATGGAGCCAAAAGGCCTCAAGACACCCAGAAATGAAATATCTTTTTTTAAAAAAGACTTCAGACCTGTTTCTGATCTCACCCTGCTGTAACTCAGGAGTCAATCTGCTCACTCCAATGGAGTTAGAGTGGTACAAGTGAAATCAGTGTCCGACCCTTCATTTTCAGGGAAGGAGAATTATTTTTCTCCCTCCTTTCCAATTCGAAGCAGCCCATCAGACATCCAGCTGGCTGCAGTCTATAAAAGAGTATTTCTTTACACAAAACCAACCCTTCTCTCTCCTGGAAATCCCCTGCCCGGCAGTAAAACACTTTTTAAAAGTGGAAAAGATGTTTTTATTGGGGTTTGCCCAGTTGTCCCAGACATAATATAGACTGTCTCCTAGTCCAAGAGCAACTCAAATGGCCACTGCAAAGTCAGTAAAGGCAGACACTTTTGAAACAAGAGAGAAGTCTTTCACCTTCTCACATTCAAATCACCTGCTGTGAGTAAAGAATTAGTGAGTAAATAACCACCTGTCCTCCCTTTGGAATCTGAAGATTCCCTTGTCTCAAGGTTACTATATTTAGGCTACCTACATTCTTCAAATCAGTCCACACCTTTTCAGAGAACTGAACAACTTCCAAAAGTTTTATAAATCTGTCAGGTTCATTATATGTGCCACTCCTGGAATCGTTCTCCATCATCTTGGCTCTGATGTGTGCTAGAGATGGGCTGACCCACCGATGTCTTGATCTAAATCCAGAGGCCATCAAAGTTAGAATTTGTGGGCTGGGTTTTTAATCTGGCATCTGAACCAAAAATGGAGAAATCTCCCAAGAAGATCTGTGAGATTTCTACCTTTCTTCTCCTCACACACTTCAATAGTTTTCATAGAGATGAATCCACTTAGACTGGGACTAAATTTGGTCCTTTGTGTTTAAATTGGTTCTTTTCTGATGTGACCCTTCCAAGCCATAGGACCATATCCTGTTGCCCTACATAAATGAGTTGGGGGGCATATTGGTGGGGGTGAGCCAAAAGAGTAGCATAAATCTCTCATCCTTTATGTCCCCTTTATCTGTAGGTTTTCTAATATTTGTCTGTGTGTATGGAGCAGCCAGAATTTGTGACTTCACCTTCATTTCTACAGATGCAGATCCTCATGACTAAGACCCTCCTTAGTATTGTAACTGCCACGGGATCTATCAGAAGTAAAGCCCTATTATGAGGGCTAATGCTATTCTTCATAAAAAACAAAGTATCTGAAATAATAGCAAAGGGAATGCAGAAAGTGACTGGACAAGTAAACTATCTTTGGAGGGGGTTGTTTGATATATGTTCTCTTTCAAGTTTGTTCCATTGCAAACATATCCCCATTGAACAGATAATTACCATCTTCTTGTTCCCACTCCTGATCAGAATATGCAGTAAACAGTAATCTTGAGTGCTCACAAAAGTCTGGAAGACTTTGCAGAAGCAGATGTTTCTTGATCAATTACAATAATTGTATTATTTAAACAACAAACATTACAAAAATTCATAAGATTACATTATAAGGTAACTATCCTGATGACTTGTGTTTACTTGCATTGCATCAGTATTTTGTGTATGTATTTATGCTGTTGTGAAATTCTAGTTTAACTTTCCTCTCTAAAACTATCTAACACAGGTATAAACAATATAATAATGTAGATAAAAACAAGCAGAATTTAAATATAAGTAATACAAATGTTTAAAATGTATTTTAATGTATTTGTAAAAGATGTAACCTAGGTTGCAGCAGAGGCCCTTATACATTATCAAAAATCAGACCAGAGGCGGGATTTGGAGAGCAAGCCTGCCCCATCCTCATCCCAGGGAATGGCAGCTCCTGTCCCCCAGGGATTGTAGCACAAACCTGTTCAGTCCTGCATCCACTCTGGGCAGCTCCATTCTGTCCTGGGCAGTTGGTGAGCTGGCAGGTAGGTAGATTTTGGTGGGGGAGGCTGAGGGTCCTTGAGCCCTAGCCACCCCCTGCTTATGACTGTAAGTAATCATATGGCTCACATTATTATAGTATATGACAGCCTCACCATCTTTACTGTATTTGTCCTCACAGCACCCCAGTGAGGTAGGAATGTACCACAAGCCCATTTTACAGGTGGAGAACTGAGCTCCTGAGAGAGTATGTGTCACACAGAAAGGCTTTGGCTGAGCAGGGCATTGAGCCTAGGTCTCCTAAGCCCCAGGTTAGCATCCTTACCACCCTGACCTGTGCCAATGAGTAAAGTACTTTTCAGACTGTGACCGTCTCCCATCTCGGTTACTACAGCCTCCTCCTTTCTGGCTTCCCTGATAGCCTTCGGCTTTCCCTACAGATTGCCCCAAATCTGGCAGCTATAAGTACTTTGTCAATCTAATCGTGTTGCCCACTCTTTGAATTCTTCCTCTGGCTTCCCATTAAACAACGCATCTTTGGTATCTTTTTTTCCATCTCATCTTTTGTATCCCCTCTGCTCTGCTACTGATACTACATTAACACCTTATTCACTTCCCCCCGGCCCCCGCTTCTGTCTCCATCCGTATCTCATGTTGCTTCCTATGCATAAAATGATCTCCCTATCCATGTTCACCAACCATCGTCCCCTTCATTCAAATCTGTCCTAAAAACTAAATTTTTCCATGATGCCCACAAATGTCCATTTCGTAATGACAATTATTAATTTTTAAACATACCATTATTCCCTCTTTGGGATTTCCTAACGCATCCTGTTTTCTGTGTCTGGCTTTTAGGGCAAGCTCCTGCCAACAATTGCTCCTGGGAGTAGTGTTTGCTACTACGAGTTGTCCCATTATCCCCAGGGGCAAGATAGAAAGAAACCTCTAATTGGGCCTCTTGCTTAGGGCCATCCAGTCATAATCCTTGCAGTCACCTGATCACAAGAACTGCATTCTATTCTATGTAGGTTCTTATACCACCGCATCTCTGTAGTATCTGAGCGCCTTCCAGTAGGGTATTAAGCCATGTGACTGCAATCTGTCGTTTATGGTTTGTTGGTTTCTCATCCTCTCACCAGGGGAGAACTGTACGAAGTGGAGTGGCTTTTTGTGCGTGCATGTGTGTGTGTGCCAGTGTTGTGGTGTTAGTACACACATTGCTATTTATTTATGTTAGAAAAGGTGAGGTCAAAGAAGTGTCCCTTGTACTTGGAGGGGAAGGTGGAGCGGTTTGTGATGGTCCTTAGTCCTTGTTCGGGTTCATTCCACACTCTCAGACCTGTCACTGAGAAAGCTCCGCCTCCTAATGAGATTCGCCCTTATTATAGAGTTCCATTGTGCCAGAGGAGCACAATTTACTGCACGCTGTTAGCATTACCAGTAGGGAAAAGGGAAGGTTGTGCTCCCACTCTCCCTTTGTCCCAGCTAGAATCCCAGGTGGGTCACAGTGGGTATGTCTACACTTGGAGCTGGGGGTGTGATTCTCAACTCAGGGAGACAGACTTACAGTAGCTCTCATTGAGCTAGTGCGCTAAAAACACAGCACCACAGGCAGCAAGGCGGGATAGCTGCCATATTTGGGGTGCACAGCCCTTGCCACTGCCTGCACCACCGCGACTCTACTCTATGTTTAACAAGCCAGCTCTATCATCACTAGAGCTCAAGCATCTCTCCTTGAGCTGACAATCACATCCCCAGCTCCAAAAGTAGATACTGTATACCCAGTGTGGAGCACATCTCCTTAAGGAGCTCGTACCACCCAAGACTTCCCCAAGCCCTTGGCAGCACGGTGCTTTTCTGCACGGCCCCAACATGGAACAGTGCCTAGAAAAGTCACAATAGAACCCTTAAGCTATTATTTACTGGTTCAATTGCAAAGCATATCATTAGTTTCTCTTAAAATGTTAAAAAAAACCTCTTACATGATAAAGCAATAATGAACACACCAACCTGACAGAATTCAAATCCTACTGCTGTACATTGCCTACGCTCCTTCATCAAACTTCTCCGCCTAAATCAAAAAGTACAACATTTACAATACAGGACTTAACAATTTCAGCAGTTACTATAGATAGCAAAAGCTTTGAATTAATTGAGCAAACCTGATGCAAATTTAAAATGGATGAATCAACAGTTATTTGTATCAAGTATTTCTGTTCTATCTTCCATCCAAGGATCTCAGAGTACTTTATAAATATGAATGAATTAGGTCAAGATCTCCAAAACTGGAGCCCGA